CCTCTTCTCTATTTTTCCCTCTTTCTCCCTCTAGGCTGCGTCTGGCTCGAATGAACGAGGAGATGCGAGAAGCCGAGGGCCCCTTCGGACAACCAGGTCAATATCCCAGCAACAGCCCCACTGAGCTCCAGTACAGGAAGTGTATACAGGAGTTCATCAGCCTTAATATAGATGAGTGTTAGTGACAACTCCCCACCTGCCTCTCCTTTGCTGTCTTAAGTGGGCTGAATTCAAGAATGCCGCCTGAGCCCCACCTTTGGTGTATATTGGTGTTTCTTGCAGATTGGCCTGATTCTGATGCCTACGGCAGATAGGCCAAGAGCCACAGAGGAAGGAGAGGGACTTTCCTGTTAGTGTGTAATTCTCATGCTTGACTAGAGACGGTCAATTTCACACAGGAGGCGATTCAGGGCACACCACAGACCGTGGCTCGTGGGTTTGAGTGCGCGGGGAGCGCACGAGTTTAGTGTAAAAAAGAAAAGAAAACCCTTTATCGGCAGAAGAACATCACCAACGATACAGCTGGATGATATGCTTGGAACCTGCTGTGTATTTGTAGCGCTATAGATCGGCCCTACACCGAATTGTCGTATGAACAAAGTTTGGTTGGACAGCGTGCTGTTGCTGGAGCCCTCTCTTATCAACGGTGCTCAGCAACTTGAAGTACTCATTAGCAAATGGGGTGACTGCAAGGTTTGGAAGTTGTCAGATCTGGTTTCAAATGCTAACATGGGGGCCTCTTAAGTCTGGAGGAGGCAAGCTGCAGGTAGAGATCCTCTGCTGCAAAAGGCACCCGGGACGGGATAGGAAGGAGAGACATGGCCGCCCACCTTACATGCTCTCAGGTTTAAACCAGCAAAGCTCCCTTTTTTCAACCAACAGTAGCTAGCTGGTCAAAGCCATAGCTTAGCTGCGTCCCGGACTAGAGTGCGATGTGTTTAGTGTTACTGAAGCAGTGAGGCTAATTTTTTGTGGCCAGGAGAGGCTCGTCGCCGGCGATGGGCTTTGTGCCAGGGAAGAAAACTAAAATCAGACGCCCACAGCCTGAGTGGCTAACTCAAGCAGCTGGGTTTTTTCCCTGGTCAGATTTCCTCCTTCGCCCCTTTCTGGGAAGGGGATTTCTATTTGTATGCGTGTCCCTAAATGCTGTCGTCCCTCATGCTGATGCATGCGAGCAGGGCGTTTCTGCAGCAGGTCCAGGGAATCCGGATTGCTCCATTTCCATTTACTGGCAAGACTATTTTGGTTTTTCTTTTTTTGCGGGAGTGTGGGGGGACCTGTTTTTACTCAGAGCCACTTTGGATTTTATGGTCTGTGTTTCTGACGTGCTCCCGGTATCTCGGGAGAGATACCATCACCACGCTGTCATTTCTGCAGAGGGCTTGGAGATCATGTATAAAATTGGAAGCCCAACCTGTGACTGTGCATGACCATGGAAAGCCTCACTGGGCTCCTTTAAGAGTCCAGTCCCACTCAGTGCTGAGCCCCCCAAATGCCATTCTAGTCAATGGGATTTGGGGGCTCGGTGCCTAACAGGAGAAGCTCAGGATCTTGAAGGATGAAATTCTTAATCAGGAACACAAGAGACCAGGAAGACTTCCCCGTGCCCTGTCCCCTCTGTTAAGCTAGCAGTGATACACCGTAATATTTCTTTCCATCAAATACTTGTCCGATTCCTTTAATAAAAGTTCTGCTCCGCATACCAGCTGCTGCCCTTGGTAAGTTATACATCTGCTGGTTGCGCTCTGTGGGCATATTTCTGTCCTCAGGTGCAGCACGAGCAAGCAGGTTCCACTCAAATCTGTGCACTCATCCAGGGCTAGAGCAGTAAAGAAACGCCACCCAATTCCTTTAGTTCCTTTCTCAGCTAAAGGGCCGGATCCTGCTCTTTTGGAAGTCAAGGAAAGCGTTGCCACTGATGTCAGTGGGGCAGACTATGTCCTGAAGGTGTGCCACCCACTTCCTGTCTTCCCTCATGGCTTCTTTCCTGTCTGCTCCCTTCGAAACTGTGAGACGGCCACTCCCAGAACGCCAAGATCTCAGTTACACCCATGTGCTGTAAATCTGGAATAACCCTACTGAGTTTGCTGGAGTTGCTCCAGATTACCACTGGAGCAGACTCTGGATGACTTCCCCGCTCCACCCCCCAGTATAAAAACCTATTCTCTCCAGCCCTTCACTGTCCCTTCTCCATCTACACTCCCTCCTGTTGAGCACAGAGATCACGCCAGTGCTCTTTACATAACATGCCATTACCAAAGCTGGATTATGTGAGTCTTCAGCATTTACGTAGTCGTGCTGTCTTCCTGCCCGGTACACTTGGTGGGGCCCACAGTAAACCTCAGGCCACCTGCACTATCCCCTTTAAGCACACAGCGCCTGATTCTGACACCGTTATGCAATCCAGACTCAGGCAGTCCTCCCTTCTCTGAGTGAGTGCTGAAAAAAGGCTTTAGGATGCCTGTGGTGGTACTTACTAGAGGCTAAACACCGCAGTCTTTGCTCATGCCATACTCAGGCAAAATGCCCATAGACTTCATGAGTAAAGCCTGCAGAATTGTGCCTTTTGTAGTGAAATGGTCACTTGTTACCGTTTAAGTACAGAGAATAGACATTGATATTTAGTCCCTGTTATTCAGGGGACAACTTCCTGGTGACTAGATTCTGATCTTAGTGTAAATCTGGAGTCACTTCATTTGAAGTCAGTGGAGTGACGCCAGATTTACACCAGTATCAATCATGTCTTCTGTAGCTAGAAGTGCACACAGCATTGCAGAGGTGGCCTCCTGTGGAGTTGGAATGTTTCCCTTTGATTTGCACGTACAGTGCCCTCCGTTAAGGTTCTTGTTTTCTGTTAAGCGGGGTGCTGAAGGCTATCGGGTTTGATCCAGCACTTCTCCACTTCCCTCATCCACTTCAGCTTCGGCGTTTTCAGCATAGAACCACTAACGGTATATGGTTCTCTTGGTGCCTGACCTCGTAACCTTTCATTTCGCTGCACTCCACACTGTTGCCTTCTCCCCTGTCCAAATCACGTTAGGTATAAACAGCTTCCTCCTGAAAACTGACTGGCCTCTTCTATTGTATCACCTTTTCCTTTGACACCTCCGATTGAGTTACAGCCTGAGCGTGCTCCCACTGAGGTCAATGGGAATTTTGCTGTTGACGTCCGTGCGAGTAAGATCAGAACCCTGTTGAGCAAAAGCCTGGACTCACAACTCCTTGGTGTGAAATTTTCTGCTTGATGGTATTGCCATCTGTGCAGATCTGGGATGGTTTAAGAAGCTGCCTGACAGTGAAACTCCCTTGCCCTCCTCAATTTACTGAGCACTCTGCCTTCAGTCCAGCGACGCAGGAATACTCACCTGCTTAAACTTCAGCCTGTACTTCTGAGCTTTGCTAGATTGGGCTCAGACGGCTCAGGACTACGCAGGAACCAACCAACGTGCAGCTGAATATATGCTGCTTATCTTGGCTTAGGAACGAGGCGGCTTCTCTGTAATTAAGACTCGTTGATTATCCCAGCCTGTCCCATTTTATATAGAAAGGCTAATCTGCACAAAACAGTTGCTCTCCCGCACGTGGTTCCCTTCAAGCCATGTCCTCCTCTAGAAAAAGACAAGATTGAATTAAAACTAGAAAATTTCAGGACACTCCAAAGAGAAAAAAGCAACATGTTGATCATTAAACATCCTACTCTCACTCTGCATTAACGAAACCCAGCCTGGTGGTTGCTGGAAACGTTTTTCCTCAGGCGTTGCCTGTTAATCGACTCCAATCAGTTTTCTGACTCTGAAGAGGAGTTAGAAATTTGACTGATCTTTTCTATAAACCAGTGAGATCTGAAGGCGTAGCTTGTCCACTCCAGGCCATTTTATTTCACAGTCGACATTAGTGACTCATGAGAACAATACAAAACAACAGTGTACGGTTTGGCACATACAAGCTTGGAATCACTCACTGCCCCAGTAAACGTGGTGAAAGAATATGTAAATACTGACACAAAAAGCAGTATGTCTGGCAAGACAATTTATCTATTTAAAATGTATCGGTACTTTATTTAGAGTCAATGTATAAAGCAACTTTGTGCACTTTTCCTACTTACCGTATTGGGTTTTTTATGTTCTTTTGTTATGGATTTTGTGCTGTCTTTTTTAATCGGTGAAGTTGTTAAGTATTTAATTTATTATTGAGACGCCCAGAGGACTAGTGCAATTTTCATTCAATACAGTTTGGCTGTATTTAATGTCAGGATTTTTTTGTAACATTACTAGGGCCTATTTTTTTAAACTTGACTTTTTTTCCCCCCGTCTCCCCGCTTCCCTTTCTTTTCTTCTTTTCCTCTTCTTTTTGCGTGTAAAGAGAATGCAAGGCATCTGATGCCTCACAGCCTGAGATAGGGTAGAACACTTAACAAATCCTGCAGTTTCTAAAACAAAATGTTTTTGTCCAGGGAAAAAACTATGCCTAAAAGGCATTTATCAATGTTTTCTATGGGTTTTTTTTTGAATGAGAAATGTGTGTGCGCGCGTGTTTTGGGGCTTGGGAGGGAGGGATATTGGGGAAATTGTACATAAAGTTTGTTTTCGGCAAAGCAAAGAGCCAGTACGGCTACAGGGGAGTCTAGACATAAAGTCGCTGGGTTATTTTTTTTCTCTTTAAATATGGTTACATTTCTCTGAGTGTTGTACAATCCTAATGCCAAAATTGCTGTCATTCCTCCTTTATAGCTCTTCTTTTCAAAGAGTTTGTACATTACATACATGACAGTAACTTGGTTGCAGCTGCGATTAACATTAACAGATTTGCCTTTGTCTGGAAAGCAACACCCTGGGTATTACCTCAACATAGATGGGCCCAAAAGATGATCTCCAAATTGAAGATTCTCATGCTTTTGGGGTGATTGAGATCTGGGCCAAGCTTTGAATATTTGTTCCAACTATATTATGAGCCAACCCACCATTCTGGATCCAAATACTTGAATTGGAGGATCCGAATTTTGCATTTTAAGCACATCTTCAATTCTAGATTGGATGGGTACAAAAGACTTGCAGATTGAGATTATACTCCCTGTTCAACGTGTGTACAAACTAGCA